TGGGTGTGTGTGTGTGTGTGTGTGTGTGTGTGTGTGTGTGTGTGTGTGTGTGTGTGTGTCTGTGTGTGTGTGTGTGTGTGTGTGTGTGTGTGTGTGTGTAAAATCTGGAACAAAGTAAATTAGAATACGGCCAAAGAGCCCAAAAAACCCACAGCAACCATCAGATCCGGCCATGAAAGTCTTTGAGAATACAAAGTAAGTTAGTATTTATTGCATAAATTCAGCTGAGAACACAAAGCAGGGAGAATAGTAGCCACCATACTATTTTCTGTTTATGATAATGGTACAGTAATAAGACGAAGTGTTACTCAATAAGAACAAGCTGGGGCATTACAGCATCTACCAAAGAGGAAGGAATTTGCAAGATAAGGTCTCCCATAGCTATATCAAAGTTAGTGAGGCATTGCATAGCAGCTTCTTGTATCCATTTCTTTTTGGAAGAGGGAGCTGGTAGCAAAGTGAGGGTATCCATGTTCATCTGAGCTCCTGACTGTTTGCTCACCTTACTAAAAGGCTTGCACCTCACTAGAGGGTCAAAAAGTGGGGCTGCTAGCAGAATGGGAACCAGGCCAACATCAGCCAGGAATGATATGATCTATACCTTGTCAATAACTCTTTTGCATTCGACTCATGAATGATTTACCTTAAAAATTAAACCGTGTGTATGTCTGTCCAGCTATTTCTGTCCGAACATTTGATAAATTGAAAAGTGGAGATGAATATCATTTTGTATATTTATGAATGTTATTAGACGTATTCAACATGGTTTTAAGGTACCATTCTACATTTTTGTCATTTTTATGCGTAACGTACATATTTTACCAAAGAGAGAGAGAGAGAGAGAGAGAGAGAATTTATAAAGCATCAAAAAAACCCTCTTCCAACAAGATTGTTCTAGATCCCAGAAGAATACAGTTAATCACCTGGAACATGTATTTATCAGAGTGACTAATAAAATCTAAATGTTGAAATGTTATCACAAAATCTTGAGGCTTTTTACTGTCTTTGGTGGCTCCCAATCAAGTTATACTGTTGACACAGGTACTGTAGTGGTGCAGATCGTTAGATTTAAGCTCTAATTGGTTGTTGTAGGTTTTTCAGGCTGTTTGACCGTGTTCTGAAGGTTGTTCTTCCTAACGTTTCGCCAGTTTCTGGCCAGCATCTTCAGAGGACGGGGTCCGAACTCGTATGTGCTCTGGTGAACAGAGTTCTGACTCCTGTCCTCTGAAGATGCCGGCCACAGAGATTGGTAAAACATTAGGAAGAACAACCTTCAGAACATGGCCAAACCTACAACCACCATCAGATCCCAGCGTGAAAGCCTTTGAGAATACATTATGCTCTGATTGTTTGACAATTAGTTGTGACCATTGATTTAAACACATAAATATCATTTTCCTTTTTTCTTAAATAATTTGTCGTTACAGTCTGAGATAAATGAAAAGCTACAAATGCAGGAAGAGACCTATTCTGCAAGAATAGAGAAGCTGAAGAAGGTCTGAAAAAAAACATGTGCAAGCAGAATGATGATGGTGCTGTATGCAGATTATTTATGTGCATTTTATTTATCAGATTCAACATAACTGAGCTGATGTCTCATCATGAGATAAAAAGCGTTGTTCTGAAGTCCCTAATATGGCATCTTTCTATTTAGTTGTCATGTACATACATATATTATAAGCATTATATCAAAACAAGATAGTGAAGAAAAAGCATTAAAACTTAATTTTCCATTAAAACAATCGCTTGGTTTTGTTTCCTTGTTAAATATAAGCATTGTTAGATTTTTGATACCACCCCCCCCCAACTATTGTGTTGGCGAAAGACAAGCAGAGTATGTGTGGATATAAAGATTCTAACTTGTTAGCAGCAATAAACTTTATTCTGCTGCATTGCTTCTGAAACTTAATCATCTCAGCTTCAGACAGCAACCTTGCAGAATCTTACAACCACTTTTTTTTTAATCTTTGGGCAGGGGTCATAAACTAACACCTCCTTAGTTGTGATCTCCTTTTCTTGTGATTTAGGAGCTTCTCTTCTGTTCTTTTTCATCTATTTGCTCAGAGATATCCAGACATGTCATGCCTAAGGCAGTCTTCAGCTTGCACCTCTGGAGTGCACCAGTTTACGAAAGGTTGGCCTAAGGGAAAGAAAATAGATATTGGAGTCAGCACTAGAGATTAGGGAAGTCATTGTTCTGAACTGCAACTCCCAGAAACCCGAGCCAGCATGGTTACCAGTCATGCTGGCTGAGGGATTCAGGGAGTTGTAATAACAACCACCACCACCCATGGGAGCATCAGGTAGAGAAGGTGCCAGAAAATGACAAATTCAACATCTCGTGGGATTTCTGGATCCAAATTAATATACACCTTGACCATAACACACCAGACATTATAGTAACAGAATGAAGAAATGTCTAAGCCATTAACATTGCAATGCCAGGGAATGCCAGAGCTGAAAATAAAGAATTGGAAAAACTAACAAAATATAGAGACCTAGCAATTTAAACATCTTACTTGTGGCTGAAACAGACTTCTGTGGTCCCCATAGTCATCAGGGCTTTGGGAACAATAGCAAGAAATTTCACACAATATTATAAGCAGTTGCAGCTCTCAAAAATAACACCATCAGAGCTTACAAAAATGGCAATATTAAGACCAGCATAAATACTGTGCCGATATTTAACAGATACTTAGGGGTTTTTTGGTTAAAACTTGTATCTGTTATATAATACCAGTCAATCTTCTTGTAATTTTGTTTGACTGTGCCTGGTATTTTTGAATAATAATACTAACAACAACAAGAAGGGTGGTTGTGGAGGAGCACAGAGAAACAAGCGAGAGCAGCTTTTTGGAGAAGGGAGGAGTGTTGTGCATAAATAAAAGGAAAATCTGCCTAAAGGGGTAGCAAAATAATTTAGAACTCTAGGTTGCCTGGACTTCCAGTTCAAATTAAAATTATCTACCTGTAGGCCAAGATGATTAAACTAGAACAGCACTGTGTTGTTGTCGTTTAGTCGTTTAGTTGTGTCCGACTCTTCATGACCCCATGGACCAGAGCATGCCTGGCCCTCCTGTCTTCCACTGTCTCTGGAGTTGGGTCAAATTCATGTTGGTTGCTTCGATGACACTGTCCATCCATCTCATCCTCTGTTGTCCCCTTCTCCTCTTGCCCTCACACTTTCCCAACATCAGGATCTTTTCCAGGGAGTCTTCTCTTCTCATGAGATGTCCAAAGTACTGGAGCCTCAGCTTCAGGATCTGTCCTTCCAGTGAGCACTCAGGGTTGATTTACTTCCCAGTTGGTTTTTTTAAGGCTGGGGAAAATCATGGTACAACACTGGACACCTTGAACATTACTCACTCAGTAATGGATAACAAACATGTAATCCCACTCATCTTTACATTTTCCATGCCAAGCATTACTGATCTGTATCAGCAGCATTCATGCTGTAGTGTCCTTTTCAAGTACCTTGCACAGGGCCTTCTTTTGCCCTTCCTCTACTTCTGTTCTTTACACACTTCTCGCCCACCTGCCTCTCCATCTCATGTTTCTCCTCCTTTCTTTTTTCTCTCTTTTGCCATCTGTTGCTTCCTTTCTGTGCCCAATCACTTCTGAAGCAATCAGGAGGTTATGTGGTTTAGGATGAAAAAGGACTGATGGTTTAGGATGAAAAAGGACTGATTGGAAACACCATATTAGGCTGACCATGTTCCTGTTGTAAAATGTTACAAAATCCATGAAAATGCCATGCTAGCTGGGAAGTTATGAGACTGAGGGCAGCTGATGTACAGCACGGGTCCTACCATCCAATCATCAACTCTTATTAAAATTTGGTCATACTTACAATGGCTGTCTCACTGAAAACAGTAAGGTTTTGGTTACAACTAATTTAATTCTCATTGATTTCAACTGGTCTGTCCCAAATCTGATTAACTCTGGCTCTTACCCAGTCATGGCCAAATTATATCCTTCAGGGCCACTGTATCACTCACGGGCTCACTTGAAGCTCCCCTGCTCCACACATTCGGGGTTGTGGGTGGGTTTTTTTATTTTTTTATTTTTATTTTTTATTTGCCCCATTCTAGGATACATGGGTAATTTCACCACATGTTTAAAGCATTTTCAATAAAAATCTTGACGTTGTCCCACATGCCCAATAGGACAGGTCATGAAGTGGCTTTTTTGTTTTGTTTTGTTTAAAAACTTTTTTAAAATGGGTGCTTGGGTATGCAAGGGGTGCAGCTCTCCACATTTCAAGTATGGGCTTGTGTAGCCCCTAGAGCACTGAGTTGCCCACTCAGTCTAACCCAATGTCTTTTTCTAGACTGGGGCACAAGGAATGGTTTTCTTGGTAGCTGCCCCTTGCCAGCATTGAAGTTTTTTTCTCTGGAGCATCCTTAAAATTAGCTGAAACTTGGGCAAGAGCAGAGGTGGGATTCAGCAGGTTCTCACCTATTCTATAGAACCGCTTCCTAAATGTACTATTGGTTCTTAGAACCCTTTGTTGGCCTGAGAGGAATGAAGGAGGAGGGGCCAGGTGACCAGCGACGAGCGAGGGGGAGGGGGCACAATTAACTGCCTCCCTTCCCACTCCACACTGAGCCGTCTGAGGTGGGATGTGGGTGAGAGAGATAAAGCCCTGGAAAGAGCAGAGGTGTCACTGGGGGTAAAGGGGGGAGGATGAGTCCTTGATGTCACTGGAGGAAAGCTGAGAAGTAGTTGTGATGATAGGCAGTAGGGAGACCACTGTAGAAGGAACTCTCATCGGATCCCACTGTCCTGTGCATGCATTTATTTATTTATTTATTTATTTATTTATTTATTTATTTATTTATTTATTTATTTATTTATTTATTTATTTATTTGCCATTCGGGCATGGAACCTGTTGTTAATTTATTTGAATCCCACCACTGGGCAAGAGCCCTTTTTAAATTGCAGTGTGTTTGTGGGTAACAAAGCCAAGAGTTCCAGGATTTGTATCTGTTACATTTCAATTGTTTTAACCAGTTTTTTATCTGGATACTTCCCGACACTGTTCTCAGTGCTTGTTTTTCTGGATCAGACTAAAGAGCCACCTACTCCAGCATTCTGTTTTCCCCAGGGCTTGACCATCTTGCTTTTTGGGAGTTTGATTCCCAGAATTGCCCAGCCATTATAGCTGCTGGATATTCCAGAAGTTTTGGTTCAAAAAGATAACAGATCCAAGTTCTGCTTTCCACCAGCCGCTAGTGCCTCTGGCCAATGTAAATTCCCCCAGTTGTTCTCCAGTGTATCTGATAGTCAGGTGTATCTTGCCACTGTAGGCAGCATTTATTCCTTGTGGTTGACAGCCATTGATAGAGGCCTTTGAGTTGGAACAGGCTGGAAAATCAACAGTATCACATCTGGAATTATCACAGTAGAGCAAGAGTGTTCAGTTTTGTAACATCGTAAAGAATGATCTATGTCTTTAGCTGTATGCAAACAACATCAGAGTTCTTTCAGTCCTGTCCTTTGTTCTCTCTGGTAGACATCAAGTCCAAATGTTCTATTCTTCCTTGCGCTCAGATTTGTAATCTTCCCCAAAGCATAAAATTAAAGTCGAGAATTATCAGGCTACTCGTAGAGAAGAATTTTTGTCCCTTGATTGAGTTCCAGGCAAATGTTTCCAATTCTGTTTCTTGCCAAACACATGATGTGGATCATACTAACCATTTTTCCCAAGCCTTCTTGACCCACTCGCCTCCCACCCCTCCTCAGTCTTCACCATAATAAACGAATTTGCACTGATGGTTTGGGGGGAATTTGGCAGATGTTTGCAAATGAGGAGTCTATCACAAACGATGCTTTTACATTACAGAAGAGGAAGCGGTTGGTTATTTTTACAATATAGGGAATACAGACAAAATACCATGTAGAGCATTCCTTAATATAGAGTAATCCCAACAGCATTGTTCACGATATCTCCTTGGCACCACTGCCTTTTGAACAGTTCAGCTAAACATACAGGGCCCGTTTTTGCAATTTGGTATTTAAGGGTGATCATATAGGACAGCTGGGGTGAATAGGCCAGGGGATTTTTTTTCCCAACTAGGACTGCTTTTCAGCTGTTTGGAAATAGCTCTGTTGCCAAAGATTGCTCAAATTGTGCTGTTGTGTCCCGTAATGTGGCCAAGTCTGTGAGGGTAAACAGAGGATCTTAGCATTCGTAAGAGTTATTTTAAAATCCATCATGTAAACGTTTTCTGACAGGCAAATATAACAACAGGAGAAGCACTGGCCTAGTTGTCCATCTCATAGGCATCAGATGACCTGTTCCTCATTTTTTAAAAAACTAAAGATCCATGTATACATCTCTGAAAGGCTCAGCTGGTGCTAGTCATGTCTTCATTTCATCACCAAGCCCAAACATGGCTTTTTACCAAAGCCTTAGGAGTCTAGGCATATTGACTCAGGTAGGTTGCGGAGTTCTGAAAGGTGGATGTGGTTTTAAGTGGATTCAAACAGCTTTGTTGTAGGCACCCCATCCTGAGCTTTTTAAACATCGGGTGGGATGTAACTATTTTATTAATAAGTATGTCTTGGTCTGCATCAGAAGAACAAAATCCATGAGCTCTATTTAGAAAAGTATAAATCTGTGATGACAGGGAAGTTGACAGTGAAAATGTAAGAAGAATTTTCCTCAACAGTTGTCTCAAATTGAGTCATGTCCAAAACCTGGAGAACTATTTTTTTCAGAATTCACCACATGTGTTGACATCTATTCTCAGAGTAGCAGGATTTTCTTAAGTGATCACCACTCTTTACATGTCACATTGACTTCACTCTGAGAGATCAAAACTCTTTTGGGAACTGGGGGGCAGAGAGACTGCATTTTGAAACACCACCTCTCGCCACTGCTATATGATTGGAGCTAAAGCCTGAGCTGTCATAAAACTCTTGTCTGGTGTGCCTCCTTTCCTTCCTCAAACATCCCTGTATCCCATGGTGTACTCTCATGGGTATGGTATAGAGTAAGCCTATTTAGTCAATGGGAAGCCGCAAGGGGTGGCCCAGTGCGACTGCTCCTCCTGCTACCGCCAAATCTCTTCCTCCAGCGCCACTGCCAGGGCTCACCTTCAGCTCACATCGC